TCTCTCTCTCTCTCTCTGCAGAGACAGGAGAGCAGACAGGTATTGGTCGGAATGTTGTTTCTGGTCTTCCCCTTCATTCCTGCCAGTAACCTTTTCTTCAGGGTGGGATTTGTTGTGGCCGAGAGGGTTCTCTACATGCCAAGGTGAGTCTGTGTAACTTTGTACAATTTGGGAGAGTGTACACATAAACAAATAAAACCATCAGACAGGGGGACTTGAGAGAGAATGTGATAGAGGTTGATGATGCTTGCTAACCTAAATCAACTTTACAGGGTCATTCATTCGCTATTCCACAAAATCTGTTCGTAATGGTTTTACGTATCTCACCCACTTGTCCCAGAGTTGAATAAACCTGTTTCTCTGAAGGTGAAGGGAAAAAGTGATCCTTTCCATAACATAGATGTTGTTTACTATATCTATCCACTCCTGTATCGTGGGGGGCTCAGGAAGCAACCAGCGCCTTGTGAGCGCTTTTTTACAAGCCGTTATTAAAATGCCAAACAGGTATTCATCTGGACACCCTGTTTGGAAATCAAATTTTCCTAAGAATAATGTGGAAAATTGCAGGGGCAGGTCAGTGTTAAGTATGCTTTTTAATGTTTTATGAAAGGTTTTATCACCGGACACTCCCAGAATACATGCCAGTGATTTGCTTCCGGAGCCCCACACCGTCTCCAACATGTAGCATCCCCTCCAGCGAAGCGTGCCTTCTGCTTCGGTGTGATAAAGAAACGAATAACACACTTCCACGCAAATTCCTGCCACACGTGAGAATTGGTGCATTAACATTGAAATGTACACACATCTAACCAGTCCTCGTTTGATATTGAGAGGTTACCTTCTCTTTCCCATTTTTCCTCAACATATCCTACATTGTGGGACTTTTTTGTCATAAGGCCTTTGTAGGATCTAGAGATAATTCCCTTATTTGAATCATTCTGGTAGGCACCGAGAAATATTCTCAGTATTGGGTCATTGAGGTCCGTTGTATTTCTAATGTTCTGTTCAAAATGGTTGCGTATCTGGAGGTATCTATAAAAATCTGATTTTTCAAGAGAATATTTTTTCCTCAGGTGTTCAAAGTCCTTTAGTTGTCCCTTTTCTGTCAGAGAATAGAATGTTGTTATACCTTTTGGGATCCAGGATTTAAATCTAAGGTCCATTTCATTTGGTTTGAATCCCGGATCATAGGCACACCATTGAAGTATTTGTAGTTTTTGATCTAGTTTGTATTTTCCTTTTATCACGTTCCAGATTTTTAAATGGAATTTGATCCATGGGTTTTGTAAATTGTCGTTAGTTTTCCCAAGTTTTTATACTGCATGAATTGGGGGATCATTCATAATAGAGAGTTCAATATCTTTCCACCCGGCACAGTAAACTGGGGTACACATGTTAATTAAAGGTTTAATCTGGACAGCATAGAAGTAATCCTTAAAATTGGGTAGAGCCATTCCTCCTTCCTCTTTTGTGAGTTGTAGAGTTTTAAATTGAATCCTTGGTTTTTTCCCTCGCCAAATTAATCTTGAAAGGATTTTATCCAATTCAGAGAATTGTTTTGGGGGAATTTCTACAGGAAGTGCTTGAAATAAGAACAGACATCATGGAAGAATATTCATTTTTACAGAGTCAATTCTATGGCTTAGTCCGAGGAAAGAAATAGAGTTCCATCGATGTATGTCATCTTTCATTTTTGTTTAGAGGGGGCTGTAATTTATCTCTGCCAATGTTGAAATATCTCTTGGTAGGTGTATTCCTAGGTATTTCAGGGAGTTCTGGTCCCAGTTAAGGTGACATTTCTCTCTGTTTGTAGGAGGTGTACAATTAAAAGTCAAAATTTGTGTTTTTTGCAGGTTTAGTTTATATCCTGCATATCTACCAAATGTTTTAGCAGGTTCATTAATTCAGAAAAGGAGTTGGAGGGGTTACTTAAATAGATCAGGATATCATCGGCATACAGGGCCACTTTGTGGTCTGATCCATTTATACAAATGCCTTTATGCCTTTTTATGCTGTCTTATCCATTGCGCAAGAGGCTCTATATAAAGTGCAAAAAGCAGTGGGGAGATTGGACATCCCTGTCTTGTTCCACGCTCTAGTGTAATGGTCTCTGAGAGATACCCATTTACTTTTATCCAGGCCAATGGTTTAGAATATAGTGTACGAATGCCTTTAATAAAATTGTTGTGCATGCCAAATCTTTCAAGGACTTTATATAAGAAAGGCCAGCTCACTGAATCAAAGGCCTTGTCAGCATCTAGACTGACTAGGTAGGCTTCAAGGTTATTCTGTTGGATGTGGTTTAGTATGTGCAGCGATCGCCTGATGTTATCGTGAGTTTGTCTTTGTGAGATAAAGCCGGTCTGATCATTGTGTATAAGTTGAGGAAGGTCTTTTGGCCAGGATGGCTGTGTATAATTTGTAGTCAACATTCAGCACCGAAATTGGTCTATAAGATCCACATTCTAGTTTATCTTTTCCTTCTTTGTGGATAACAGAGATCACTGCCTCGCTCCAAGATGGAGGCATTTTTTCATCTGTTAAAGTTATATTGCAGGCCCTAAGAAGGCTTGGTAATAGCTCAAATCAAATTCTGAAGGGAGGCCATCTGGACCGGCTGACTTATTGGCTTTAAGCCTGGAGGTGGCGCTGTTTAGTTCTGTCTCTGTTACCGCTGCAGTTAATATCTGATTTTGTTCTTCTGATAAAACAGGGAGGCTGAGGGAATCGCCCTCTAGTTGTGGTTGTGTATATAGAGATTTGTAGTACTTTTTAAAGGCATTTTGTAATTCATCTTGCTTATAATGTATAGTTTTAGAAACCGGATCCCTTATTTTGTATATTGTGTTATCCGCTCGTTGTTTCTGCAGCTTTCTCGCCAGAAGTTTTGTTGATTTTGAGCCTGACTCATAATATTTCTGTTTTGTAAATATCATATTTTTTTAAATTTCCTGTGAGTACAATAGATTTATTTCGTTCCTAACTTTCTTAATTTTGGTCAATAAATTCATCTTTTGTTCTCTTTTATGCTGCGTCTCGAGATCCTTTAATTCTTTATTAAGGTTTAGTAGTCGTGATTGTTTTTCTTTCTTCTCATGGGCACAGAAAGATATGATTCTCCCCCTGATGACTGCTTTTAAGGCGTCCCATACTACAGCTGAATCAACCTCCCCGTTATCATTTTCTTCCAGAAACACTTTTATTTCCTCTCTCATTTGGGTCTTAAATTGCGGGTTGTTTAAGATACTTGTGTTTAACCTCCACAGTGTTTTTCCTACCTTGTCGCTAACATGTACCGTGCAGGACAGAGGTGCATGATCAGATAAATCAATACTTCCAATATCACAGCTATGCATTCTATGGTCTCAATCTCTCTTTAACACAAAGAAATAGTCTATCCTTGAGTATGTATCATGGGGGCATGAGTAAAATGTATAATCACGGCCTGTTGGGTAAAAATCTCTCCATAGGTCTAATATGCCCAGTTCTGCCATTAAAACATTAATTTTTCTATGCAACGATGTAGTGGTGACATTTTTTGATGAATCTAGTTTTGGATTAAGACGGATGTTCCAATCTCCACCACATATGACAATTCCTGGGGCCCCCATCATTAAATCAAATGTCTTTCTGTAAAAACCAAAATCACTTCCGGGGGGGGCAGAAATGTTACATAAAGTTATTGTAACGCCATCTATTTTTCCAGAGACTATTATATATCTCCCCTCCTTGTCTGTTACCTTTGAAAGTAATTCAAATGATACCTTTTGTGATATTAAAATTGCTACGCCTCTCCTACGGCCTGATTCATAAGATGTTTGATTCATAAAGAGTTTGATATATGAATGCATGTATCCATCCTGTAGGCTCTGATTAGGCTGGATATACACATACAGTTGTGTGAAAAAGTGTTTGTCCCCTTCCTGATTTCTTATTTTTTTGCATGTTTGTCACACTTAAATGTTTCAGATCATCGAACAAATTTAAATATTAGACAAAGATAACACAAGTAAACACAAAATGCCGTTTTTAAATGAAGGTTTTTATTATTAAGGGGGGAAAAAAATCATGCCAATCATGCCATCAAAAACATGGCCGATGACAGTGTAAACAAAGTGTATACTGCATCTTTATAAACTGAGAGCATTCATTGAACAATCTGACATGCAACATCATTTTACAACTGGAATCTCAATCTTACACCATTTATTAGAAAGTAAGATTATTTACAGTTTAATAGCTGAGATTTAGGAACACGGCAACATCACTAAAGATAACTCCATGTTTGTTAAACAGTAACAAAGTTATGAACGTTTTTAGTCATTTTGAAAGGTACTGAGGGAGGAGCGATGGCCTGGCCTCAGCTCCAGAGACGAGGGCTGCCAATCCTCACACAGTGACTGTGTGAGTCACGCAATGAACACGCTTCACGTGCTCTCACACCACACTTACATTTCTAACGCAGAGAAAAAGAAATGTATCACTGATATATATACTTTCATACAGTATATCTATAACTAGATACATAAATGTGTGCGTCAGCATCTGTGTAAGTGCATATTAATAATGGGCTTTAACAGCAGGATAAACCGTATGATCCATATCATCCAGGATATTTAAACCTGCAGCAGGCTGCATTATATGCACGCTCCATTACGGATGCTAATCTCTTTTTGTTATTTTACTGTTGTGTTATGTTCGGACTTCTTTTAATGAAACACATTTACATTACATTACAGTCATTTAGCAGACGCTTTTATTCAAAGCGACTTACGATTCAGATTCTATCACATTTCTACACCGTAGGCACAACTACAGGAGCATTGTTGGAGTGTCTTGCTGAGTGTCAGCAGTGTCTTGCTGAAGGACACATCGACATGCGACTAGCGGAGCCGGGGATTGAACTGCCGATCCTCTAATTTAAGGACGGCCCTGCTCTCCACTTAGCCACAGTCGCCGCCACATTTGTTGGAACCTAGATCATAGTGTATGCTCTCTGTCTTCAGAATCAGCAGCTGTCACTACGTTTATTTACTGTATATCTTTGCCACCCCACGCCCCAGCAGTGGGGCGTGGGGTGGGACCAGAAAGATCACATCTTAGCTAACAAAGTCATGACGCACTGACAGAAAACAACACGCCTGTTGATGTGCAGAATGACAGTGTGAACAACATGCACAGAAGAACGGAGCAGCGGAGGAGATTCTGATTGAACACAATCCCTCAGGAACACCTTTAGAGAGTTTCCTTATATGTGACCCTGACCCTGACCCTGAGACTCCAGGTGGTGGTCAAAGGTCAAGGTCACTGTGACCTCACAAAACATAACTCAACATGCTAATTATAACAATTTCACACAAATGTCTAAATATGAAGTGATGACATGGATGTAAACTGCTACTTGATTGGTGGGTGGAGCCATACAACTGTCAGGCAGTAATTCTAGTTACTATGTAATTCAGGTCAAAGGATTTGGCAAAAGTGGTGAGAGAGTTTTTATGGGGAGCAACAGCAGCCCCCCATGTTGAGGATATGTGCACCCATGGGACCTGAAGTCATTTGGGTGAAAGGCACCACCAGGGTGCAATACGTTATGTCACAATGTGTTGAGTGATGACGGTGGGAGTATGTAGGACTGCAGTAATCAACAATACTTTTTCCTTTTTGAGTCTCTCACCATCCTGTCTCTGCACCAATCCCCTCACTTACATGGTCCTCCTCCTCTCCTCTTCTAGTATGGGTTATTGTATCCTGGTGGCTCATGGCCTAGGCCGGCTGTGTTCGGTGGTGGGCCGTTGGGGCACCACAGTCCTCAGTGTCTCCATGCTGCTGCTCCTCCTGCTCTTCTCCTGGAAGACGGTCCAGCAGAACCACGTCTGGCTCTCCAGGGAGGCACTCTTCCGGTAAGGTGTGTGTGTGTGTGTGTGTGTGTGTGTGTGTGTGTGTCGGGTCATATTTTACCTGTCATGTTGGGACATAACTCTGATTACATAGTCCTAATTTTCCAGAATCGTCTTCTTTGTTTGGGGGGGGGGGGGGTGGATAAGGGGAATTGCATGTCCCCATGTAAATCATTACATTTTAGGATGAAGACTTGGAGTCAGGTCAGGTTGATGTTGAGGTTGAGGCTAGGACAAGGTTAAGGGTCTGGGATCAGCCTGGTAGCGGTTATGAGTTGTGAAGGCATCGCTACTTTGGACTGAGCCCTTTGACTTTCCAATGAGAAACATGAATTATAGCGGGGAGCAAAGTGAGAGCTGTATGTAGGGACAGCAGTACACCAGTGCTCTAAAACAACAGGAAGTTGGTTATTCTGAATTGGCCACTTATCAACACAGTCAACAGTAGAAGCAGCTGGGACACACTCACAGAGGCAGTTACAGTTCATTAAAGGTTTACATCCATGTTTACTAGCTGGCAGTCTTCTTCTTCCCTTCTGTCTGAAATCTAAATACACAGACATGATACAAATATCTTCAGATTCAGTGTGAATGCAACTTTCCGATGTCTATAAATCAGCTTAGAAGTCATCGAAACAAGACACTCCTTATAACTCCCATCGGGTCTGAGAACTCTGTGTTTTCTTTCTCTATCAAAGTAATCCAGTGATGGTGGATTTATTCATGGGAGGGCAAAATGTTGACAACCGCTGCACTAGTACACTGCAGATACAGGTTACCTACATGTGGACTATTATATTAAACATGCACCGTGATGCTGTGTGGAAGCTGCCAGTCTTTTTTATAATAGTTGTTTGTGATAACAATGTCACCAGACTGCTGTCATTATTTGTTTATTTGTAATTGGTACGTTAAAAAAAAGCTCTTATGAAGTCAATGTTTAGGTGTGTGTGTGTGTGTGTGTGTGTGTGTGTGTGTGTGTGTGTGTGTG